GTTAAGTCGACCTTCTGAAATTTTTAAGAATTTCAGAAACTAAGTGATCTCATGAGATGATTGTAACGAGTACGGATCATATGTTGTCGTAGTACTTGACGGACAAAAACTACAAGAACATGAATAATAACAGATATGTGACAAAAGTTACACAGCCATGACAGCATGGTCTTTTAGTAACTGACAGTAACATATTTCATTGCAACGATACAGAAGAATGAATGGATTCGTGATCGATCCTCTACGGTAATTCTGCCTAATGAATACTCCCGGGATATGAATTCGATGCAGAAATTAGCACTGGGAGATGCTGTTCAGTTGGGTTACCTGTTTGCTGAGTCGATTAACTAGTGCAGGTAACAAGACTGTGAAATCAAAGCATTGTTGATCAACGAGCGCACAGAACGAGTAAACTGCGCCGATGAAGACGATGTAGAATGCGGCCAAAACCGCACACGTACAAACGATTAATGCCCATATCAAAACTGAAATAACACGAATTGATGAAAGATAACATATTCCAAGACTGAGGCTAAACAGCAGTTGAAAAACTTAGATTAATTCAAGAGGAGTGATTGATTGAATAATAATCGCTATGTAGGTGATCCAGCAGAAAGATTGTTATTCGAATGGTTTTCAAGGGCGACTAGATGAAGTCATCACACAATTGATAGTCAAATTTGATATTAAACAAACCCAAAGCCATTGTCGATAATGTGACGAGCCCGAGAAGACATCTGGACGTTACAATCCGAGACAGTAGTGATTGATTCTCGATAGATTCAGGCTTCTTGTTCAGTTTAACTGACGCTGAAACAAACTCTAACATAAATTCCAGAATGAATTTTCGATGCTTTCAGAAATTTTACTAATTCAGGTCAAATTAGTGCATTCGATCATTTTACCATTAACTGCAGCATCTTTAAATGATCAGAAGTTTTGGTTGAGATAATGACGTTAAAATAAGAGTTTTACTTAGATTTCATGCAAATTTTATGCATTTTAAATGCATTCTATCAATTTTCATTCATCATATTCATAAGCTCGAGCATAATAACTCACTGGAAGTAGATGCAGCCCCGATGAGGAGGAACAATATGGAAATTGTTATGATGAATATTGTCACACAAACGATGACCCATCGGAACGTGAATGAGCCAAGAGGAAAGAGAGTATTAACCTGAAAATAATTTCACTTTTTAAAAAATTCCTGATATCATAGATCGATAAGATCATTGCCAACGAATTACCCATATGGCTGTCAATTTCATTAATATTGCCGTGGTTGGCTCATTACAGGTACAAATAAACTGTGCACCATTCAACCTAATCCTGTTGATTTGCTTGACATTACAGATGTACACATCAAAACGCATGGTCGACGCTAAATGATTTACTGAAGACAGCCATCTAATGAAAATTGCAATCGTTTTTTGTGCAGTAATGTATTATTGCCTCTATATCCTAGAACATGTCCAATACGATGCAAATCACCTTGAACAATTGTCAGAGGACGATTAAAGGCATCTGGGAAGGTAAATTCGTAACATGAATAGGTGTGGTTATAGATACCTGCATTGAGAAGCCTTCCATGGCTCCATCGAAGAGTATAGAGAATGCCAGACATCCTACGATCGATATCACTGCTGCATTCAGTGATCCCCATGGGATCGATCGGAAGCACGTCGACATCTTATTTTCTTCCACTTACCACTTCTTCACCCGTCTTCAACCGTATGACTCGGGGTCATTCTCTAAATACGAACTTGATAATTAAACGTGAAACTTGTCCAGAATATAATGAAAAATAGTCGCGAGTTGAAGAGTGGCGAATATTCGGAGGAATTTCCGCGA